TCCGGATCACTCTCACTTGTCTCCTCCCCACTGGTCCAAGGCTCAGGTGCTTCCTGGTGGCCAACCAGCCGCTCTGCGCCCTGCTTGGAGTCGAAACCCTGTCCAGGGTCCTCCAGAGCCGACTCATATGGCCCCTCACTGTCGGAGTCTGGTGGCAGCTCCAATGGCTCCTGCTGGGCCACAACAGAAGTCCAAATGCCTTTTTTGGAAAAGCACCTTTGGGACAAATCGTGACCTGGATCATTGAGAATCTCCATAAACACTCCCTGTGTTTTCTGCTCCTGCTTCCTGTTCTGTTGTATGACCTTCTTTCCCCCTTCTGCTTTTTTTTTCCTTCCAGGGAGATCGCCAAGCCCCTAGTCCCTATTGGCAAGGCCACAACTCTATTAGTGGAAATCCTGGGCCTACTTTGCAAAGGAATGGTATGTTCCCCTGCAAGCAACTGTCTGCTTAATGGCCTCTGTGAAGGAGTGAGAAGACTGGCCGTTGTGGGTCACTTGTTCGCTTAGCTGCCTTAGCACCATCATGAGCCCCTGTCATTGGGCTACCTAGATGAAGCCTGTTCAGATAAATCAGGCTCTAAGGCCGTGATGGCAAACCTATCACAGGTGGCACGCAAAGCCCTCTCTGTGGGCATGCGAACTGTCGCCCCAGCTCAGCTCAACTGCGCATGCGCGCATGCCTCCCACTGGCCAGCTGATTTTCAGGTTTCTCCCGCACATGCATGGGGATGGGGTGGCGCATGAGAGAGCCGCGCATGCACGCGCGGAGTGAAGGGGGGTTTGCACATGCCCGTGCTGCCCATTTTTGCTCCCAGGAGGCTGCAGGGAGGCCTACTAGGCCCAAAACAGGGCTTGGGGGGTGCGCCCTCCACACTGCCCATTTTTGCTCCCAGGAGGCTGCAGGGAGGCCTACTAGGCCCAAAACAGTGCGCGGTGTGTGTGTGTTCATGTGTGCATGCACGGGGGGGAGCCCTTGGATTTGTGTGCGCAGGAGGGTCATGCACGCATGTGCAGGGGAGTGGGGTGATGGTGTCGCATAAGTTTTGCATTATGGACGACAAAAGGTTTAGCCGTAGCTGATCTAGGATGCTTTGTATTTCACAGCTTTTGGTTCACTTGAGCCAAAATGACATCTAACATGATCTTTCACTCTCCTTCCACGTCTAGAGAAGAGCCATGAGCTTGGAGCAGGTGGTTTGGTGGGAGTTGATAGCAGGGCCTCCTTGGTGGATGATGGACAGGTAGTCCTTAACTTTAGGAACACAATTGGAATCGGAGTTTTTGTTGACAACCAAGGTGGTAGTTAAATGAACTCCCTTAAGTTGTTAAGCAATTTCGGCTTTGCTTGTTGGAAACCTGGGGGGAAGGTCGCAAATTGTGACCACACAACCCTGGGACGCTGCAGTGTCCCAGGTTGCTAAGCACCCGAATTTTGATCACATGACTAAAGGATGCTGCAGTGTCATAAATGGGAGGATTGCTTGTAAGTCACCGTTTTCTGCTCCATTTTGGGGTTAAAGATTCACTAAACAAATGTTTGTAAGTCAAGAACTACCTGAATTCTACCTGCCCTTCCAGAATTAAGAGAAGAAACCCACCTATGATACTTTAGGCCAGAGGTCTTCAAAGTTGACAACTTTAAGACTTATGGACCAGCTCCCAGAATTCTTCAGCCAGCATAGCTTATCATAGTTCACAAGTCTTAAAGTTGTAACTTTGAGGGCTCTGCTTTAGATCTTAGATACAATGTAGATGCTGTTTTGAGTCTATTGCCTCAAATAAACAATACAAATTCACAGCATCTGAGGTTTGTTGGGTGTAAGCTAAATATTGGGTGTAAAGCTATGGGGTCTCTTTTAGTGTAGGCTTCATGACGAAGCAGGCGGTGGGGGGGACGACTGTCCTTTCAGTGAATGTACGCAAAATGGTGCCAAGATTGTCTCTCTTCCCTGTAGAGCCACAAGAAGGCCGGAACATTATGGAGAGAAGGTGGATTGAGTTGGAAAGAGTTCCTGCCGGAGAACCAGGATATCAATAAGTTCATCACAGAGCAGGTAAGGCGAAAGTTCTTGGGTAGTAAGGTTGGTACCCTGTTTCCCCCATAAATAAGACCCAACTGGAAAAATAAACCCTAGCATGATTTTTCAGGATGCTCATAATATAAGCCTGTTCTGACCCCTTCCTCCGTCCAGTAACGAATGCCGAGACAAGCTTAACTGGTATTTATTTATAGGGGGAAAATCTCCGGACCAAACGTAATTTCTAATGTCGGATTTTCCCCCTTACCAGAGGAAGCCCCCTTGTGAAGTACTGTGAAGCTGTTACCATGGCAACTCCACTGCGCTGTACAGTAGCATCCATTTTGCGGCAGTACAGTAGAAGCCAGGATGTATCTTAACAGAACACACACCACGAGGGGGTGTTAGGGGGTGTCTTATCCTCAGTATTTTTTTCCGGAGAGCAAGTCATCTTTGTACCAAGTTTGGTTGAAATTGCTTGAGGCATTCCAGCGTTATGCTGGAACGCACGCACACACACACATACACAAAAAAACCACACACACAGCCATATTTATATAGAGAGATTATTATTAACAAGAGATGGGGTATAAATCTAAGCTTAATGCAGTAATAGTGAAGTTCTGGGCACGTTTTTCATTTGCCGGTGTAACATCACCTCTCTGCAAGCTACCTTGGCACCTGGGTGCGATTCAGGGTGGTGGCTGCCATTTTAGAAATCCCTGCACGGCATTGAGCCAGGTTGGTTGCAGGACTGCCTATCTGCAATTGTTTCTTCCAGCTCCGGCAGAGTTCATGCACTTGGTGCACCGCCGATTAAGCAGTGTCACCTGGCAAGGTCCCAGGAGGTGCGCCTCAGCCTCTGCTGTCGCGCATTCCCTCTGGAAAAGCCCTTCCCTCTGCTCTGCTCGCTTTTCAGAAGTCTTGAAGAACACAATTCTCTTCACCTGGCTCATATTATCATACGTGGTGGACATGTGTAGAACCTGGAAGCTTTCAGATTCGGGTTTTCCTAGATGTGCCAACATGGCCCTCTTAATAAATTGGAACTTTGAGGAAACTTTGGCCTCAGATTCTGATAAATTTTTGGATGCTATTTGGAACCCTGACATTAACCTGAAACAACATATTTACTTGAAACCTGAAATATTCCTGTTGGGGATCTTACGAGAAACCTATAGTAAGAAAATGTACTGTATTTTTCGGAGTATAAGACGCGCCGGAGTATAAGGCGCACCAAGGATTTTGAAGAGGCATTTTTTTTAAAAAAAAATAGGTAGGTAGATAGAGGGATAGACAGGGAGAGAAAGAGAGAGAGAAATACAGTAGGTAGGTAGGGAGAGAGAGAGTAGGTAGGTAGGTAGATAAAGGGATAGAGAGAGAGAGAGAGAAATAGTGTGTGTAGGTAGGTAGAGGGATAGAGAGAGAGAAATATAAAGAGAGAAATACAGTAGATAGGGAGGGGAAGAGAGAGTATAGGTAAGTAGGTAGAGTAATGTTATAGACATCCAAGTGGTGCCTGTCACCTGTTGTCCTAACCCAGGGCTCAAGGCTAGGGGCCAGATCCGGCCCATGGGGTACTTAGATCTGGCCTGCAGGACCACCATGAAAATAACGAAGGACCACCCTATAGTGCCTCTGCCAGTGAAAACACGGCCCTCTCAAGATCCATTTTTGCTGGCAGAGGGTTGCAGGAACGCCGTTGGTTTCAGCCAAAAATGTAGTTCTGGAGCTTGTTTTCTCGGGCAGAGCGCTCGGGCCACCACAGGCACCTCCAACACAAGTGACATCGAGCTGGCCACGCCCAACCTGGCCCCCAAGGTCAAACACAACCCTGATGCGGCTCTCAATGAAATCGAGTTTGACACCCCTGTCCTAACCAGATCTGCTCCTCTTTTGTTTCTGTTTCCAGAAAGTCGAATATACCATGGGCGATAGTTCGGAAGCCCCTAGTCGGAAGGAGCTCACCTCTGAAGAACTCTGCAAACAACTAGATAAGCTATTAAAAGAAAATGACAATAACCAAAGAATATATGATTGGATTGAGGTGAGGAATCCTTTGGAGGCCCGCAACAGGAGCTTGTAGTAGGCTTTATTGCTATTCTCCTCCTCCTCCTCTTCTCACGTTTCCTGTTTCCTTCTCCCATTAGTATCTTATGATTTGTCACTTGCTTGCACCTTACGATTAATGACTGTAACTATGATTGTGATCTATGACCCATCACTCTGTTGGTGTGTACACTGAGAGCCTATGCACCGGAGACCGTCACACCTGGCCAATAAAAAATTACATTTTTCCATGGGGGGAGGCAGGATGTAAGTGCTGGTCATGCAGTAATGGGTCAGTGTTGACTTAAACACAAAAGGGGTGAGAGTCCCTGACAATTTTTGAGTGATTGTACTTCAATAGGACGGAGGAGTGGTTTCCCATAAATCAGCCCTGCAGGCTGCAGTGTTAGCCCAGTGCAAAAAACCAGCAGCCTCTGGGCATAGGATGGAAACGGTTGAACAGAGAATCAACGTATTATTTTCTTAGACCAGTTTATCTCAATGTATTGTATTCCTGAGAGGGACGTGGTGACTCAGTGGCTAAGACGCTGAGCTTGTCCATCAAAAAGGTCGGCAGTTCAAATCCCTAGCACCGCATAACGGAGTGAGCTCCCGTTACTTGTCCCAGCTTCTGCCAACCTAGCAGTTCGAAAGCATGTAAAAATGCAAGTAGAAAAATAGGAACCACTTTGATGGGAAGGGAGCAGCGTTCTGTGCGCCTTTGGCATTGAGTCATGCCAGCCACATGACCACAGATATGTCTTCGGACAGTGCTGGCTCTTTGGCTTTGAAATGGAGATGAGCACCACCCCCTAGAGTCGGGAACAACTAG